CCTCTACCCAGCAAAGCTATCATTTAGAATCAAAGGGCAGAAAAAGAGCTTCCCAGACAAGAGAAAACTAAAGGAGTTCATCATCACCAGATCATTATTATATGAAATGTTAAAGGGAAATGTGTGAGGACTGCCTGAAAGAATGTGGGTGTTGGGTAGAGTGGGGTAAAGAGAGAAAAACTAGGACAGCTATAACAGCATAATCAATAAAATATAATTTTAAAAAAAAAGATTTTTTAGATAATGAAAGCGGAAAAAATTTTTAACCACAATACCTACCATATTACCAAAAAAGCTTAAGCTCATTTCAGGCTGAAGGGAATAATGCCACATAGAAATTCAAATCTACATATAGGAATGAAATGTTAAATATGTGTAAAAATATCTAAGAGAGTCTTTTAAGATAAACCTTAGAAAGACATTCTATAAACTTGTGTAACACTGAAGGGAGATAAGAGCCTACAAATTATGCCCCCAGAAAAGTAATCAAGTATAAAGTATACCATTAACTGCCACAAATACACAAGCTAATTTTTATTAAGGATTGTAGAGTGCTGAAATATAGGATGGAATTTTTTTAAACTTTTATTATAAATGATAGCTGTGATTTCTTCTTCTTTCTTTTCTTTTTGTTGCATAAAGTTTTGTTTCCATTTGGTTCACAGCATGGGAAAGGCTCCAGGGTGGATAAATGGCGGCATAGTGGTTGCAGGGAGAGGCTCAGCCAGAAGCCAGACACCAGTAGGGTCCAGGGGTACCCCTCAAAGGCTTCTGGGCTCCACTGGAAGGCTACTACTAGTGCTGGAGCCTTCCAAAGAGATATTCACCAAGCCTGAGAGCCAACCAGCCTGCAGAGGTTAGTCAGGTTTCACCTCCTCATCCAAGAAGTGGTTCTCCAAGATATCACAGAGATGAGGGTCTGTAAGGGTAGAATCCTGGGCATATGGATCCAAAAAGGCCTGGTTCAGGTTCTTCTCCAGGATCATGGTGGCTTCCATGGCGTCCTGAGTTTTACCCCACTCATCTTGCGAAGGCTTCTGCACATTTAGGAAGAAGGTGCAGCCACCATGCAGATTTTGCATCTTCAAGAGACATTAGGTGCACTTGCACTTCTTCTTCACCAACTGATGGAAGAAGTGGCCCATGCTCTTCAGAGTCACATCTTTGCAGTCAAAACAGAAGCCCAGAGAAAGGTAGGTATAGGAGACCTGCAGAAGCAGGTTGGCATTGGCCTCTACCTCAGTGGAATAATTCTGATTGAATTTGGGAGCCCATGGTTGCTCAGCAATAAGGATTAAGCTCAAAAACAGAGTTGGCTGAAATTGGAGTCCAAGGATGGCTGAGGTGATGACTGGAAATGAGGTTGGAGGGTGATCAAAGGCTGGAAGAAGGGGCATTTCTGGGTATGTCCTATCCAAACACTGCTGAAGCAAGAGGCAGATGCAGGGAACCACCAAGGGCACTATGAGAGCATAATTTATACTTCTCAATTCACCATAGGTCAATACTATATTTTTTTTGCAAGAAATAGATGAATATATCACTTATCTTTCAAATAACTTACTTATTCAGAGAACATTTCTTATTGGTTGTTTATGTAACTCCTAAGAGATCTATAGCAATATACGTATATTTTATATATATATATATAATATACATATATATTTCTTATTATAAGCATAAGACACTAATATATAGTCAAAATATTTTTGTCATCTGCAAAATATCCAGTAATAGCGGTTTTATAACACCTTTTTATACAAATATTCTAAAGTAAAACTGACAAATTGAACACAGGAGTAAGTCTACTGCCACACCCTACTAAAACCTTCCCAAAAAGAAGTTTAAGGGGAAAAAAAAGACTGACATACACCGGGATAATAATAATGAGAAGGGCAATACCAACACAATGTTAGAAAACAGAAAGCAAATGGATGCATAAACAGTAACTAATTGAATACAGGAAGACAAACCCCAATTGCCTAGTAGCTAAAACATCACTAAGCAAACTAATCTCTTCAAAGTAAACTAATCTCTTCTTCCAAAGCAAACTAATTCCTGACAAAAATAAATAATCAAAAGAGCTCCAAACAGAAAGTGCTTGTTATCTCGGAAGGCCAGGTTGAAACTACAAATGGGAAAACTGGCAGAAACTGTCAATAAGTAACACATAGATACCTAAATCCCCTCTTTATGCTTGCAGAAAACAGGCAGTTAAGTCTGGAGAGGCTGGATCAGATGGGCTCCAAACTAAGGGACATCAAGTACAGCCTGGGGCAGATATCAGGAGCTCTACTTAAACCTGAATTTTACATAAAAGTTTGAAAAAAGAAAGGTGAGACCTCCAGCCCCTTCCTTTGCTCTATATCAGAACAATGGTGTATTGCCCTGCCCGAGCTGAGAAGATTTCTTTCTAATCCAAAAGAAAAACATATAAACATTCGGTTGTGTTTAGGGAACATCTGGGAGTTCCCTCAACAAAAAAGCCTGATCACCACACCCCTTGAGGTCACCCAGACCTGTCCTCCACATGAAGCTTCCAAATGGCTTTTAAGTGCACACTCATGAGCATGAAAACAGCAGAGGGTCACTAGATAGTTGAGGAAATTGGCTAATATGTATTAGGGTCTGAAATAAACCAAAAATAAGGCAGTGGAAAGAGAAAACAGCAGATAAGAACAAAATTTAAACCATAATACCTTAAGAGATAAGCCAAAATGCATATTAAGTTCATGGAACAAGAACAGGACACTATTTTTCAAAGTATTAATCACAGATGAATCTCTAGAAAATAAAATTGTAAAAACGAAAATTAAAATTCATTAGAATTAGAAGATTTAGGAAATAAAATTGAAGAAATGTCCAAGTCAGCAAGACAAAAGACAGAAAGTTTTAAAAGGAGAATAAAATAATTTTTGAAAAAAAACAAGGTATTGGAGCACAATTCAACATTTAATTCATAGAAATTAGGAAAATAAAATTGAGAAAAGAGAGAGGAAGAGTTCAATACATTTTTTTTAATTTCTCCAAAACTGTAGCACATGAATTTCCAGATTGAAAGTGCAAAAATACTACCCAGAAAAATGAATAAAAAGCACCCATTCCAAGAGGCTTCATTGTGACAATAAGAACATGGGAGTTAAGAGCTTATTTCCAAAGAGAAAAAATACACCACAAAAAAACTGGGAATCAAAATGCCAAAGGACTGCATAAAAGCAAGGCTAGAAATTAAAAAATAAGAACAATTTCTTCAAAAACCTAAGGAAAAATAATTTCCAGTCTTCCATATACCAAATGAGGAAGTAAAATAAGAAAGAAAAACCAAGATCAAGAAACAGACAATGTGATTTTGGAGAAAGGAAAAGGGAATCCAAAATGATGGTGAGGTGAAGACCAGTGATGATGGTTACGCAGCAGGCCTATTGAGCACCCACTCTAGACCTGAAGGTGCCAGGTGGGGGTGTCTCCAAAAAAACAAAATGGTCCTAGTAGATGATCTTGATATTCAAACTCTACAATAAGTTCCACTGGGAAGATTTTAAGGCAGCATGGGTGATGGGGACTGTGAGAATTAGAACTCTTCATACTCCCTCTTTTCTCACCACACACACATTTCTCTTCCCTTCAGCCTCCCTATATTGAACTTTCAGCTATATAAATATTCATTTTAAATAAAATATTATTAAGAACTGATCCCTATTAAATACCTGCTATGATATAAAATCATTTCTTTTTAATATTACTTGGTTTTCTTAGAATTAATGATTTCTCATTTTTTCATTTGATTATTTAAATTATATCCATAGGTTTCATTGATAAAGAACAAAATTTTAACTTAAAAAACAAGTAGTGGCATATGTTTTAAATATTTGTCTTTTTATCCATAAATATATAGTTATGGTTGATTTTAAATAGACATATAATACGTATATATACATATTTACAACCTGGTTTTTCACTTTTTTTAGTCATTAGATTTAATCACTATCAGAAAGTTGTCTTGACATCAATTTCTAACTACTTAAGAACATACAAATATATGATAATTTATTTACTTACATTCTTCTGTGTTGCACAAAAGATATTTTCAAATTGTTTTAGAAGCAGAATAAGTTTAAGGCTTTTGATCTATACTACTTAGCTATCCTCCAAAATTTCTGCCAATTTACATTTTTACTTATAATATATGATGTTCAGTTCACCACATACTTACTCCCAATAATACAATGTTTTTAACTCTTCAACAAATTAAGAGAGAACAAATTTAACATGTACTCATTTTTTGAATTTTTTTTTATTGATGAGAGAGAGACACACCAGTTTGTTGTTCCACTTATTTATACATTTTGTTTGCTTCTTATATGTGCCCTGACCAGAGATCAAACATGCAACCTTGGCATATCAGGACAATGCTCCAACCAACTGAGCTACCCGGCCAGGGCAACATGTACTCATTTTAATATAAATTTCCATATTACCTATTCATGACTTTTGAGCACTTTTCTACTGGGGTATTACATGTATTCATGTGGTTTTAAATTTGGTAAACCTTTTCATAGATTAAGAATAGTCATCCTTTTGTCATATTGATGATGAGTGTTTTTTAAGTCTTAACTCTCTCAGAGTCACTTCTTTTTCCCTCTCTTGCACTTGGTATGTAGAAAGGCCTTCCTCAGCTCAGGAACAGTTAAATAACATTCTATGTTTTCTTCTCTCTCTCTCTCTCTGAGGGGGTCATACTATGGTTTTATTGTTAGTGATTAAAGTAACCTAAAAGAAATCCTTTAACAATACTTCTATAAAGCATGAAACAGCAATGCAGGAACCTCAGGAATAGAAATGTGGCTTAAAAGCAAATAATTTCCTGGTGTCTTTTAATTAGAAATATCTCAAAATATAAGTTTTCTTCCTTTAATATCAGTACTATATGGGTCAAAAGTAATGTAACACTGTCAGGTATATATGCTAATATAGCTTAATTTTGAAAAGTTTTTACTCACTTGTGGTCATGATGTTAGGAGGGCAAGAGGGTATTCCATGATCTACTGCCCATCTGTAGGCTCCTTCTCCAACTAAAAAGCTAACAACAAAAAAATTATTCTTTTAAAAATTCCCAGTTTCATCTTCTCCTACATATTCAATAAAGTAATACAGTAAGGCAACTGAAAAAAAAATGTTTAGCATATAGATATAACTATAGATTAACTTCAAAATAATAATATGGCTCAAAAAATTCTTTAAAATTTTTCCCAAGTTAAAAAGTTTTCAGTTAGAAATGTTACCATTCATTTACAATAACTAATAAGTAAAATCCCAACCACACAAGTAAAAAAGTTGATTTCCCAATGGAAAATATTAAGATATATCTTGGATCAACATGGTTCTCAGTTCACATCACAAGATCTATTTAATCTTGTTAAGAGTCAAAGTTTAAGTGAGTCTTCAGATATAGTATTCTTCCCTAGTATAATAGCTGTCATAACTCAAAATGAGATACCCCCAAAACAAGGAGATGTGCTTACATTTCTAACCCTTGATGCTCAAAAATATATACCGGCCCCTCAGAATCATTTTTGCTATGGGAAGTAAAGTATTGTGCTGTCCCAAAAATTGCACATTTTAACATAACAAATAAAACAATACTATTAGCTAACTATAAGAGACATTTTCAAAGGTTTCAAATAGCAGGCAGGATAATTAACCACCCCACTTTCTAAGACACAATAGCAAACAGTTACCATTATAATCAGTCACTTCATCTCCTTCCTTAGCCAACTTCTTAAAGATCTCAGCCAGCTAATAATGGATTCCTTGAACAAGTGCCTATTCATTAGTTTCCTGTTCCCTATTTTTTGTTTCTGTTTTTCTAATCATTCCAACACTAAGAACTCAAAGCAATACATACTGAAGTCTTTAGATTTGATTATTAATAAGAAGATCAGTGACAGAATGGCAAAACAAAATCTAAGTAGACACTCAAAAACATATCCAAATGGTTCCAATGAAAAACTAAACAGTTAAGCCCAATAAGTGTTTTCCAGTGTACATAAAGGTAGGGATGGCGGGAACATTGAAAAAAATGAGGGAGAGAGGGCCAACAAGAATAAATAACTTTACCTCTTCAGACTTCATTTTTATAAAATTCTAAAGGATTTTGAAAATAAAAAAGTTTTTCCTATTCTTCTATCGAATGAAGAACACTGCAAAGAAACTGCAAAGAAAAGCAGCCACATAAAGTTCAAATGGAAGAATAACTGAAATAGAAACTTAGATGTGAGTTGAACTGTCTTGACGGCATTTTTAGCACTTCCTTCTTATAGAGAAAGAATTTGATATAAGAATTTCAAAGATTTTCATGGAAAAATGTAAAAGAGATGCTGAAGTAATAAATTAAATGATGAGGACAGAAGTTTGGAGATGAATCTAGTATTCAAAGCCTGTCCATTGCTCATTTGGGGTTTAATCCCAGTACCTGAAATCAATGGCATATTACAAAATATTCTTAGCTTTATTTTTCATTCCTTAATCATTCATAGGTTTGATTCTAAATAAAACCAGTTTGACATTGTCTGTATGCAAGTATTAAATACTTTAGGAATCTTACAATATTCATTGAAAGGTGAATATATGGATGCAATATTATGAATAAGAATACTAAATATCAGTCCTGGTTAGTGTGGATCAGTGGACTGAGCACCGACCTGCAAACCAAAAGGTTATTTCTTCGATTCCCAGTCAGGGAACATGCCTTGGTTGCAGGTCAGGTCCCCAGTGAAGGAATGCAACTCATTGATGTATCTCTCACACATTGATATTTCTCTCCCTTTCTTTCTCCCTTTCTCCTCGTTCTAAAAGTAAATAAATAAAATCTAAAAAAAAAAAAAAAACAACCTAAATATCAGACCTTCAATTATTATCAAAAATTCATTGTGTCTTAGCTCACCATCACACAAAATGAAGTAACTGATTTTGAAATCACTTTAAGATGCTGTAAAGCTACATAAACTTTTGCAAGAAACAATACTGATATCCAGGGTGATGGCAGAGCAAGTGGAAGCTATATTAACCTCCTCCCAGGACCAAACTGGAATACAACAAAATTATAAAAAAATCATCCCAAATAAACTGAACACTAGCTGGAGAGAAGCCTTATAACCAAGGACTTACAGAAGAAACCACATCACCACATCAAGACTGGTAGGAAGCATGGAGGAGGGAAGGGGGCTCACTGGGCTCATACAGGTGGCAGCTGAAGTTCCAGAGGGATATTTCAGTGACTGGGGGCGGGGGGAGGGCAGTGGGGAGTGTGGGTTCTGCTGAGAAGTGTAAGGTCTGAACAACAAGCCGGGCCCCTTAGCCTAGAGTGCCAGAACCAGGGAAGGAATCCAAATAACATCCAGCCGTGAAAAGCACCAAGGTTTCTGTCTGCCAGGGAGAGAGGACTAGAATGCAGAAAGCCTCTTAAAGAGCCAACACATAAAATTTTGTTTGCAGCCACTTAAACTGGGCTCCAGCAGAGGGAGGGCAGAGCAGACTAGTCCTAATGAAGAGAGTCTGGAGTTGGTGGCTCTCAGGAGAGAGCTGAAAGGTGAGCAGCAAGGATCCCTGTGCTCAGTCATTCCCCATACTGCAGAAGCTATCTTTATCTAGCAGAACATTCATCTCACTGAAGCAAGAGCCCCACAGGAATCCCTCTCAACCCACACTGTGGAACTTTAACCAGGCTGCTAGTAAGTACAGCTGGAGGCACTTTCGGTGATTAAGCCTAACAGAAAGGCTGAAGGTGGAAGAGAATGTCTGAGAGCTTTGAGACTAGCTGATCCTCCCCAGGGCCAGGTGCTGGTAAAAGCCAGTTGTAGTGGACAGCTTGGTTCTTTCTGTACACATCTACAGAGCAACATGCCCTGGACCACTGATAGCTATGAACAGGTTGTCCAGGACCAGTCACAGGCAGAGTCTGACACATGATGCAGCAAAGTCTTTGCAGACCTAACTAATACATAGAAAAAAAAAAACACAGAAGCAGCCAAAATGGTAGATAATGAAAGAGAACCCCAAATGAAAGAACAAGAGATTTCTCCTGAACAATAACTAAGTGAAATGGAGACAAGCAATTTATCAGATATAGAGTTTAAAGTAATGATTATAAGGATGTTTAATAGCATGAAAAAAGACATAGAAACCATAAAAAAGAACCAGTCAGAAATAAGGAATGCAGTATCTGAAATGACTAATACATTGGAAGGAATAAAGCAGGTTAGATGAAGCAAAGGATCAAATCAGTGATTTGGAAGATGAGGTAGGGAAAAAAACACCTGAGCAGAACAAGGGGGGGAAAAGGAATTTTTAAAAAATAAGGAGAACTTAAGAAACATTAGGGACTGAAGCATAACAACACCTACATCATGGGAATACCAGAAGAAGAGCAGAGTGAGCAATGGTTTGAGAACCTATTTTAACAAATAATGACTGATAACTTCTCTAACCTGGTGAAGTAAAAAGACACACAAGTTCAGAAAGCGCAGATTTCTAAACAAGATGGACCCAAAGAGGCCCACACCAAGACATATCATAATTAAAATGGCAAAACCTAAAGACAAGAGGAGAATCTTAAAAGCCACAAAAGAAAAGCCATTAGTTATCTACAAGGGGTCTCCAGTAAGACTGTCATTTGATTTCTGAACAGAAACATTTCAGGCCAGAATGGAGTGGCATAAAATAGTAAAGATGATGAAAAGTAAGGATCTACAACCAAGGCTACATTACCCAGCAAGGCTATCATTTATAACTGAAGGAGAAATAAAGAGCTTCCCAGACCAGAAAAAGTGAAGGAGTTTGTTACTTACCACCAAACCAGTACCGCAATAAATTAAAGGGCTTGCTTTAGGAGAAGGAAGACAGGGAGGTGGCTGAAGAAGGGTAGAAGGAGGTGGAACATAAGGAGGGAAAGAAAAAACAAAGGGAAGAGAAGGAGAAAAAGAAAACGGGAAAAAAAACAAAGCTAAATAGTAAAAACAATAAAATGGCAATAAATATATATCTAGCAACAATCATTTTAAAGTAAATGCCTGAAATACTCCAATCAAAAGCCACAGGGTAGCTGAATGTAAGAAAAAAAAGACACACATATATGCTGTCTCCTCCAAAAGGCCCACCTCAGATAGGCACAGACCAAAAGCAAAGGGATGTAAAAATGTATTTTATGGAATTGGGGAAAAAAAAGCTGGGGCAGCAAGAGTTATATCCCACACAATAGACTTTAAAATCAAGGCTATGGTAAAGATGAAGGACACTACATAATGATAAGGGAACAATCAAACAAGAGGATATAAACCTAGTAAATATTTATACACCCAATACAGGAGCACCTAAATATGTAAAGCAAATCCTAATGGACATAAACAGAGAGACTGACAGAAATACAGTCATAGTAGGGAATATTAGTAACCCATTGACTTCAACTGATAGAAATTCCTGGCAGAAAATCAAGGAGACAGGGGCCTTAAATGACATGCTAGATCAAATGAATTTAATTGGTATCTTCAGAGCATTTCATGCCAAAGTAGCAGAATATACATTCTTTTCAAGTGCACATGGAATGTTTTCTAGCATAGACCACACGTTATGACACAAAACAAGTCTCAATAAATTTAAAAAGATTTAAATCATATCAAGCGTGGAAGCAAAATAACATGTTATTAAACAATGAATGGGTCAACAATGACATCAGGAAGAAATCAAAAGACACCCTGAAACAAATGAAAACAAAACACAACAGCCTAAAATCTTTGGGACACAGCAAAAAAATTCTAAGAGAGAAATATATAGCATTACTGGCCTATCTCAAGGAACATGAGAAAAATAACACAATATAACATGAATTTTAAAAAAGAGAGAAGAAAAAGCTCAAATAAACACTCTAATTTCACACTTAAGTGAATTTGAAAAAAAACAACAACAAAGCCCAAGGTGAATAGAAGAAATAATAAAGATCAGCACAGAAGTGAACAAAATAGAATCTAAAAAAAAAAAAAAAATACAAAAGATTAATGAATCCAAGAGTTGGTTCTTGGAAAAGAC